ACATTACAATGAAACAGGTTTACTGACAACATATGTATAATTACTGCAATACTGCAAAACAAATAACTTTGATAATGCTAACTTATTTCTACATAGGGCATACAGCATATTAGTTACTAACCTAAACGACGGACACGCATTTTTCGTAATCCGTTTAAATATTCACAAATAATATTTTATTTTATACAATTAGGACAATTAGGAGTTAATTTGTGCAAATGTTGTAAAAGCAAAACAACAAAATGTACCTTGCTAACGAATTACGCGAATTACGTGAATCACGTAAATGATCAAAACGGTCGTCGAGTAGTTTGCATCACAGAATATTACTGTTGGTTATTTAACATTTCTGTTGTAAAACAGCTGTCAAATAATAAATGTTTTCCCTGTCTGGAGTTTTTTTTTTTTTTTTTAATCATAAATAAATATTGAATTTGGCAGGGACATTTTTCTGCGTGAGAAAATGGATGTGTGGCGTGAGAGCGTGAGAATAGTGTCAATTGCGTGAGTCTCACGCTGAATGCGTGAGAGTTAGCAGCCCTGTATATATATATATAACTCCGATTGTATTAGTCTGAAAGAAGAAAGTAATATACACCTAGGATGCCTTGAGGGTGAGTAAATAATGGGGTAATTTTCATTTTTGGGTGAACTATTCCTTTAAATGGCACTTTGATTTACAGTGTTTCAAATAAAAGTGGCATTGTCTGCAAAAAGAAATTGTCTTTTTATAATTACACTGATTAGATTAAAAACGACCAGGATATTCTGTAGTAAAGTGGACTTTCCATAATCATTTCAAAAAATGTTAATGTTTGTCATTTAAAAGTCATCTCAAGTTTGTTGTTTCCTTATTTTCAAAACTTAATTTACTGTCGCTGTAGGTGTACGCTTGCAAAAGCATCATTATCTCTAACGGTTATTCATCCTCATACTTGTTGGCATGACAACGAGGTTCTTATCATTCTTCACCTGGAGGGTGTTCATCCTGTTAACCGCGACTGCCCCACGACACACATCTTCAACAAGACAGAGTAAACAATCTTCAGAGGATCCCACGTTTCATAATCCATCTGAATTCAAGTCCCGCACACAATGTATGTATTTCCATATGATTAGGATCAATGAACAGTGGGGTATTGTCGGCATTGCCCGCTGCTGTGCCAAGCACTGCGTTCGGTTTTCTTCAACACAAGGCCATTGTTCGTTTCCATGCCTTTTCTCTCAGAAACAAACGGCGGGGAAGAAACAGATAATAGGCATGTGACCCAGACAGTGATGTCATCGTCATGTGAATTCAGCTCGCTGCCAGCTGCCAGCTGCCAGATCTCAACACTGGTATGTTGCTGTAATACACTGATTCTCTATGCTCCCAAACCTTTCAGTCAGCTAGACTAGAGTATATGAACCTCTTCTGTGTAAATGTGTTCATTCTAGAATGTTGTGTTTTAATATTATTCACCGAATCAACGAGTCTTTCCAGGCTTGAAATCAAAATAAAGTGTATTCAAGTTCAATTTAATTCTTTAGATTATGTGGAGACAATATTGAGTGTTTTATCTTAAACTGTATCGCACTTAAGATGTAGCAGTGTTTTTATAGTTTACTAAAACTAAAAGAATAAAAAAACAAACAACAACAAAAAAAAAAAAAAAATATATATATAGTATAGTTGCTGAACAAACCCAGTGTACTAAAATAACTAGAACAAGAAAAAATGAAAATTAAATATACTTTAAAAAACAAAGACTAATATAAATGAAAAAAATAAAATAAAATACTAAAACTTTAAAATTAAATCAAAAAAGGAAAATATAACAAAAACATTCAAAATAATAATAAACACTATAATCGCATTGATATTAAAATAACACTGATATGTAACAAACTACATAATATTTGGCATATGTACCTTTTATTACTTTTAACTGTATTCTCGTATTTGAGTTTCATTGGAGACATTTCATGATTTGTTGACAGCAGACTCAAGGAAAGGCAAAAATTGGCTGATGTTTCCCATTAACATATTTTATTAGTGATTATCAGGTTTCCCTTTCTACAACATATTTGTAGACACTCATTTAGAGAGCTTAAAGAAAGATACAGAGTATTGCACATAAAAAAGAGAAATGAAAGCGAAGGTAATGAAAATATGAAAAATTAAAAATATATCCAAGTACACACTTTTTAAACAACACTGCACGCTTGAAATGATAGCGCGGCCTGGATATACAGTATGTGCCTTTCAGTACAATTGAGACAATTATCATTTAAATATATGTTTAAAATAGTACTTTATTTAATATAACTATGAACTATTACATACAATTTCAAACTTAAGGTCACATGCATTAAACAGCTAGACTCAATGGAATGCTATATTTCAAAGTTTTGATGCTATTGAGATGGCAAACTCAACATTGCAACTAAGGGATGTTTTGCACAGCACATCATGACTTATTTTATTTTTTTAAACATTTAGTCTTAATCTTTTAAAAAAAAAGAAAATAATCACACGGACACTTACAAATCTTGAATATAAAATGTGATCAGTGATCTAGTCACTTGATCTGGCAGTCTGCAGTCTGGTACTTGTATGTGTTTGTTAATTTCTGTGGCACTGCGGAGTCACATCTGGGTTTCACCATGTCAGCAGCACAGCCAAATAACCAGTAGCTCAAAAGTTACAGCACCTTAAAAACATTAGAGGCAAGTATTAACTGTGAATCCTCATATATCGTTCCTCAGAGAAATATAAAGAATTATGCTGAACCATATTCTGTCTTGTTGTAAATACAGCTTATCAAAACTCTGCACTTTTCTTTTCTCCAAAGATGAAGGTCAACAATGAAATCTTATAGACTAATAAACAAGACTATGAAAATAATAATTGAAAAAAAAAATTAAATCATCTTGTGAAATTTGGACTCAAATGCAACTGAAAAAAAGTTAATTTTCACTTACAACCTTCCTTCTTTAATAAAGGAGTTAAGCCAAGCAAAAGCATAGCAGTACTCAAATGCTTGTTCAACCTCACGGTAATATACATGCAAAGCATACAGTACTTTTACAGTAGTTTTCTATTCATCAGACAATGGTATAAGATCATCATCCCTCTCATCTTTGATTCTGCTCTGTGACAAGAGCTTAAACCAGCACTATCATTTCATCAAATCAATTCTTTTTAAACCTTATATGTTACACTACTGACAATGCACAAAGAAAAACGTTTTATGACATGTTTTCTATCCGTTATCCTGCTAATTCTGACCAAAGAGAAGTAGTGATCTTGCCTTATGTCTTTGAATCAGTGGTCAAGAATTTACTTTTTTTAATATTTCAAAATGTCATCTATATCCTCATCGTATATTGACTGGACGGCCCCGCTTTATATTAAGTGGCCTTAACTACTATGTACTTACATCAAATATTAAGTACAATGTACTTATTGTGTTCATATTGTATTGCAAAACACTTTTGCTGCTATTGAGGTGGGATATGGGTAAGGTTAAGGACAGGTTTGGTGGTCTGGGTAGGTTTAAGGGTGGGTTAAGGTGTAAGGGATGGGTCAACTGTGTAATTATAAATGTAATTACAGAAATTAATTACAGATGTAATTACATGCAGGTATTTTTAAAATATAAGTACAATGTAAAAACATGTATGTACACAATAAGTGCATTGTACCAAATTATTAATTTAAATTTAAGTACATAGTTGTTAAGGCCACTTAATATAAAGTGGGTCCGACTGGACAATAAGAGCTTTTGCAAGTAAGGTTTAAGATTAAGGTTTATGTGCCATATAAAAGCCACAATGTGCTTTGAACAACATGAAACACACTATAACATTTTTGGAATGGGTTTAAGTGCAGTATCCATGGCTCACATCTTTCATACAACCCTATGCAAAGACAGAGAAAAGACTTCCATACATAGATTATTAATTGAACACCATGCATTTCTATTGCCGGAAACTTTGGCTTACATTTGTATTCTCAGTCATCCTTTCTTTCCATTCCTTTACAGTAAGCAATTTTATCCTATACACATTTTATAACCAATAGCAATCAAGGGGAAATCATTTTAAAGTGCTAATGAATATAATTTTCTTCCAAATTGGATAAAATCAGTAATAAAACACACCTCTGAACTTCATAAACACTAAAAAGAATCATAAACTCTGCGAACATACATTTTATATATAATTTAATGACAAAATAAGATTTGATTTCAATACTCCCAGTTATTCAGCGTTGACAAACATACCATCTAAACATATTCTTCATTCAGTTGTTTTTCAGCATCAGTTCACAAACAGAATTTTGTCCTGATCTAGTAGCAATATATTATTTTTGTTATTATCAGTTTAATGTTGTTGTTGATGCCATATATCATTCCACTATACAAATTCAAAGCAGTATCATCTCTGAGTCAGGAATGTAAAGTAATTTGTGCAAAACACACAAGCTGCAGCACAACTCCATCTCTAGCTTATGTATCTTAATTATATATATATTTTTAATCTGTTAATCTTATTTGTTTACTAAATTCCTATTTCTGAAATTCTAGCACCCAGGTATTTGGTAATCTCTCTGCTGAGGTATATAGCCTCAATTGCTATTTGCACAGTAGGTATCTGAATGAGTGATAACTTGATTAGATGATTATTTTATATATAGTGAGTGTATGTGTGAGCTATGAAAGAGGATGATGCAGGTAGTGTAACTCAGGGACTCAAAGCAACAATATCATTTAGAACAATACATGAACTGATCAGACGAAAGCAGGAGAATCTCATCTAGTTGAGCTGCAGTATTTAGGGAACTTCTGGTGTTCTGTTCAAAAATAAGTGAAGAGGTATACTTGTGCTTTAGTTAAATGTCATTGTAAACAAGGTTATTGTATTTAGCACACTCATTTGGCAACCTTGTTCAGTATAAAATTACAACTGGGAATATAACCACGAAATCTAGTTAAAACGGGCCCTGGACCAAAATCTAAAGGTCATGTGTGTGTGCATGTATGTATTGTACAACGTAAAGGGAAAAGCCACCCTGAAAAGTATATAGTGAAAGGCACGTCTTCCTTCTGTTCTCCTGCACTCTAGTAACTTTCCTCACCAAGAAATAATAATCAAGGTTTATACCATTTGACTGGTGTTTTTGGGCAATAGACAGTATGTGCTGGTTTAAACCTTGGGAAGTTAAAAAGCAAAAGGTTAAGAATTTTACACTGAGAAAACTACAATTAAGGCTGTAACGGACCATTTGAGAATAAAGATGTGAACCTGGGAGACATGTTGAACTTAGAACTCTATTTTGCAGGCTGGGAATGACTCGTCCTGCATCACAACTGTGCTGCTGCTGGCCAGGACCATGATGTTCAGCTCCTGTTGCTTCTCATGGGTCTGCTGATACCATTCGCGGGTCACTTCTGTGTCATGAGTAGGTATCAATGTTACCTACAAATAGGACAGGGTAAGACATTAATAGTATAGCATAATGGCTGACTTGAACTGTTTTGAATCACTTCAGTTCTCCATTGGAGTTGACACTGACTGCAAATAAATTAACCAAAATATTAATATGCATAGCATCCATAAAATATCCATCAAATTACAAAGTTCCAATGTTGACATCTACCACACAGAGAGCAATTAACGAATATTATACCTGTAGATTGGATCCCCATTGTGCCTTTCCCTCTAGCAAGGCATCTAGTACACTGCGGCTCGGTTCTTCACTGCTGGAGTCGTTTCCACTCACTACATAATATGCAGAACGAACACGTTTGAAAAACTCCTGGTCCACATTTTTAGCACTGCAGTGGTTGGGAATGTAGGCCAGATCCACATAGATAGGAGGACCGGGGGGCACAGATGAACTGCATTTTGCAGAATTTGAACCTGTTGAAAAATTAAAATGAACTAAAACTTGCTGTCAGTGTGATGCTGGCAAACAAAACAACTGCTCTATCTTAACTGGCAGATTCAAATGTTTATGTTCATACCTGCACTGTTCTTAAGGCCATTGACAAGGCCTTTGCCGGTGTTGTGGCTTGACCTTGAAAGATCGTCCTCCATTTCCTTCTTCCTAAGAGAAGTGGTGTGAGTGGAGGGCTCCTTGGTTGGGGACCTCTTCCGCCTGGCATCAGTCTTGCGAGCAGGAGATGAGGACTTAGTCTTACCTAATTTACGTAAACTCTTGGTTTTGGAATCTTTCTTGATTGGTTTGTCGGTTAGGCTTGACAGAGCCTCGGGATCAACCATACATACATCAGGGCGAGGGGGACAAGGAGCAGGGTCCATCATTGGTGATGGGAAGGGATCATGATTTTTAGCAGGCGACCTAGATGAATAATGCTTCCCCCCATAAACTCCAGATGATTTATCTACAGGCAGGTAATCTGCATCCTCATCAGAGTCATTGTTTCCTTCTGCTGTGATCGATGGACACTCTTCCGTACCTGGTGGAACATCAGAATCTGACTGGGAATGCAATGGCTCACTGACAGAGGTTGGAGGTGTGTCCTCCCCTATGGCACTAATCCCAGCAGCCATGGCTCCAGAGAAGTGTTGCAATTCGCTGTCCTCGCCATGATGACTGTGAGAGTGGTGTCGAGGTTGTTTGTGAGATCTGGTCTTCCCCGAAGGTTGCTGTTGATCGGATGCTTGGCTTCTCTGTTCCTCATTTTCTTCGTCGCTTGAAAGTTGACATAAGCTTGGGTTGATGAAGGATGGAGATGTGTCTCCTCTCCTCTGCTTGTACTCACAGGAGGAATAGCCTGGAGAAGCTGTGGATGAATGTTGATGGATACCAACATTTGAAGGATAGTCGGAGTCATCATCGTGTCTGCTTGGATCATCTGCGTAATAGGAGGTTTGGAAAGGTTGGTCTTTGGTTGAAAGAGAAAGAGGACGGGCTGGGTGCTCTGGCTCAGTCTCTTCTTCTTCTTCATACTCATCTTCATGTCGATAATGAGGTGGGGATGCTCCCGGGTAGATGTCTCGTTGCTGCTGCATTTCCCATTCACTTGGGCTTCTAATTTTCTTCACATCAAATTCTTGGTCTTGCATCTCTATTTTTGACAAGCCTATCCCCTTGCTGGATCCTCCAAAAGCCTCTGGTGCACTCAAAGTAACTTCTGCAGGCCCATTTGTTGTGTCTGGTTTTGTGGGCTCAGGGAAAGAGGATGTATGTGAGGTAAGCGCATCTGTGAGAGTGGCTCCCAAACCAGAAGGTATGTCCTTTATTAGTGTCTCACCCAAGGAAAATGTGGCATTTTTCTTGTCTGCTTGAGCTTTAAGTGGAGATCTTTGGTACTGAAGTTTATCCTGTTCAGTTTCGTACATATAATCGTCCTCCTCTTCACTACTCTCTGTGTCTTCATAGTACTGTTTTTCAGGGCACTCAAATTGAAGTGTTGATGAAGCACCATACAGATCTTCAGGCATGGTGTCTTTCTGTGTGGTCAGAGGCATTGAGGTATAAGGTCCAGTCGCACCAAATTCAGCTTGTAATCTTGAGTCCTCATCCCGCTCCAATTTGTAAAAGCACTGACTCTGTGGGCCTTGATCTGAGATATTGCTTGTAGAGTAGGCAGGTTCTTTCTTATCACCTATACAAGTACCAGCATGTGGAGGGAAAGGCTTGTTCTCCTCAAATGGTGATAATGGTGAGAATCTTGCAAGGCTAGAGGTGGATACAGCTGTAGTGGTTGCAGGGGTCAGCTTTTCAGACACTTCTAAATATTCATCCTTAGCCTGCCCACCAGAACTAGAGAAGGGTGAGTCCATTACTGGTGAATGTTCATCTTTGAAAGATGAGTACTCAAATCCAGTACTGGCTGGAGTCTCTATCTCATCCCCAAACTGGCGGCTAGTGGACAGAGATGCTGAAGCTGATGAGGAATGACTGTACGAAGAGGAAGAGGAATATGCTGTGGCTGACATGGTTGTGTAACTGAAGCCCAATGAAACAGGGTCTCCTGTTTTTTTCTCTGCTCCATCTGGTGTCTTTTGCTTGTTGAACTCAAGATCTTTGCCATCATAGTGAGTAGAGAATTTATCTTCAGCAGACTTTGACGAAAGGGGTAAATATGACTTGACATCTTTCTCATAATTTTCTACAAACTCATCTCTCTCCTCACTTGAAGAACGTTCAAATCCAGATGAGCCTGTAATATGACTTTCAGTAGGAAAAGGTGAGGCATCACCTTTAACAGTTTGCACTGAGTCCTTGGGACCCTCATGGATTAGAGTGGATTCAAATGTCGAAGAACCTAAAGATTTCCCATAGGTGTCAGAGCCAAAGCTGTAGTGCTGTGTAATGGTGTCTTTCTTTTCTTCCTGGAATTGAGTAGGTACAGTGCTGATGTCACTGCTTAGAGGATGCTGGGCATCTTTTTCTTGTCTGTCTTTGGCACCTTTCTCTGTATCACTATCACTTACATGCTCTCCATATTCCTCATCCTCATCATCTTCATCTTCTTCGTCTTCTTCATCTTCATCCTCTCCATCAGCAAACATCTTCATGTCTCCAGCCACGATTTCTTTTGTGCCAAATGTAAATTGGCCTAACATAGAACTTTTAGCACTGTGAGCAGAGATTAAGCTGTCTGTTGCATAATGGCCTGACTGTGATGCACCACCCTCTGCCAATCCACTGAAATCAGACTTTTCAAATTTAACTGAAAATGGGTCTCTCTCTGCTGAAAAAGATGGGTTTTTCACAGTTGTCTTTTCTTCAACTTCATTTATTTTCACAGAGAATGTTCCTTCGGATGTATCCTTTAACTGTGGTGTCCCATATATACTTTGTGTTTCACTATATAAAGTTGATGATGTTTCCTTTTCATCTGATGCTTTAAGGTCAGAAATCTTGCCAGTGGACGAATCTAGGGATTCCTCCTTTTCTGTTTTCTTTAAAGTAACATCAGTATCATCAAAAGTGTGCTCCGTTGGCAGATTTGGAGAGTAGGAATCCACTGAATTTGATTTACTGTCATACACATCAGAGTATGTAAAGCTTTTCCCAACATAGGGTGTATCTTGCCTAACCACCCTCTCAAACTCACCTTTGAGGCCCTTCTCACACTCAGGGAAGGAATACAAGCTGAAGTGAACACTTTTATCGCTGTCCTTAGAAATCACTTTTGGGTCATCTATCTCTGAGAATGACGCATCTTTTTTGCCTTGGCTTGCTGACATGGAATCTAACTTGCCCTGTGGTACTTTTATGCTTGAGTAAGTACCATCCTCAGTTTCACTTTCATCTTCCTCTCCTGAGCTGAGCATCTGGGATTTGCACTCATGGCCCAAGTAGGTCACATTTTGTGGTTTATCTTCCTTATCCATAGATTCTTTCTCATTTTCAAACTGCTTCTCCTCTTTTAGGGGTGATGTCTCTTCAGAGTTTTCTTCATCAAGAAAATTGCACTCCCTCTCCTCTTTGTATTTAGTTTTACCACACACGTTATAGCTTCCTTTTCCATAATAATCCTCTTTATCTTCCTCTTCATCCTCTTCTGAGTCATATAATGCAGGTTTCGTGCTGGAGAA